TTACGGAGAAGAGAAACATTTTACTGTCTTCGATTGGCCAACTATTGCCTTTCGTATCGAAACGTATTGTTGAAAGCTGAATGGATTCATTAACGATCCCGATGTTCGTCAAATTTTTCAGATCGTAGGTATATTTATGTTATTAGTCGTTATTATTTAAAATTATATAGTTTAGAAATTTGATCGTTTTTTCGTTATGCTGCGAATAGAAGCGAATGCTAGATTCTGAAAACAAAATCAAGATCCGAGATCAGCTGTTACGACGATAGCAAAATAAGTACATACCTGCATATTTACACTTCGGAAACTAAACGAAGAAGGAAGAGTTTGGTTACCAGTTTATTTACTTCCCAAAAGATGCCTCTTCCAGCTTCCCACGTATTTACGATATTTCGCAAACTACTTCTTTCGTGTCTCGAAGGGAATTCCGAGAATTCGATCTCGTTCTAATTCGTTCTAAATGAGTATGATTCTGTCTTGTTTCGGAAAATCCAAGAGTCTTTTTGTGCTGGAAAAAAAAAGAGTTTGATAGAAAGAAACTTGCAGATAACGAAGTTTGATCCGATTGAGTAAAGATAATCAGCTCACTTTTTCGTTCCTCGATTCGAGTCAACGACGAATGCAAACTGATTGTAATGTTATTGATCCGATCATATGCAAATATCGACTTACATAGCTCATCGTCGAATCTGAGCCTGCTTTACTCGTAAACAAAGCTCGATTTTCAGGTTAGAAAATATCAACGTTATTGAAATAATATCATATTTTCAATAACAGAGAAAGAGAGTGAGAATGAGAGTTTTTTTTAATGATAAATAAAGGGAAATTCCATGTTCTTTGTAAGATACACTGCGACCATCTTTCTTCGATTCATAATCAGAGATACGCCTTTCGTATCGTGGCACAGTTTTTAGTAAACATGATTATTTCGGTTACAATGATCTTAGAAGTACAATGCATCAGGAGATCACGTATCATAATAGATAGGCAATCTATCGACGTCAATATTCTTATTAAAGACATTCCTTAATCTTCCATTTCAAGTATGCCAGCAATATTTTTTTGTAATATACGTCGTGTATAGGAATGTAGCGAACACTGAAATTGAAAGTCAAATTAACGATTAATTACCTATCTCGCTTCCTAGTTGGCCCGCTTTCGAATCGTAGAATGCGTTTCGCTTTTTTCTAAACGAAACTGAAAGCGACTTGATCTTCCTTTTCATCTTAGAACGTTCAGAAATCTACACAAACAATTTTGAATGACCGAATTTGCAAACTAAAAAGAGGATAAGAAGGGAAAGAAAGAAGGGAAAAAAAGACAAAATGTGTTTTCTCGTCTTGTCTTGTTTTCATGTCCACATCGATATCGTTTATTCCTTTTCTTCGGGTTTATTGCGCAACTTATGAAAAATGAAACGTGCTGGCGCCATTACCGCCGCCATTATACAAAGATAAAAATTGACGCAAATGTTACGTTCAACGACATTTTTGTAATCACAATTAATAACAATATTCTTCTCGATCGGATAAAAGAACGTGTTTTACGATGTCTCAAGCAACGTTCCATTATTTCCATCAACTACTCCTTATTCAACAGCGCGAGGAGATATTACGCAGAGACAAATTCGGTCTACATCGGCATTGACATTAATTTTTATATCATCGAACGTGAGTTTACTTTAAAGAGGTTTCAGTTATAATCGGTAACAAGTGTACAGATTTCGGATCTTTTCTGATAAGCGAAAGACGACAAGATCTTTCTTTCAACTTATCAGCAGCGTCGAAGGTAACGCTATATCGGATAATTTCGTTTTCCGGGTCCGATAGAATTTTTCGTAGGAGGAGTAAAAGTGGTTTGGTGGACCGTTTAACGATATCTGTTACCAACGTCATCGTGATGCTCTTTGTGAAAAATACGTTGGTCGAAAATATCAAAGAACGAGCAGCGACATACATTCGAGGATACTTAATAGATAAGCAAATCTTACCCTTATAACGATAACGAAAGGTTATAACGATAAAGAAAGGTTTCGGAAATACAAATAGTTTACTTTATTTCACACAAAACAGCTATACATATGTCATCTTCGTTTGAATTAGCCATTGTTTTACGAAACAGAGAATATATTTACGCGAATAAACAAGATTTTACAAAATATTACGAATAACGAGTTTAATAAATGATAAGATTAACAAACGATAAGTTTAACTAATAATTAGATTAAAGAATAATAAGTTTAACGAACAATAAGAGGAACGAATAATATGTCTTACGAATAATAAATTTAACGAATAATGAGATTAACGATCGATAGGTTTTACGAATAATGAATTTAATTAACGCTATTAACAATGTTCCGGGTTTCAAACGAATCCACGGTCAACGGGATAACTCTTTACTATGCGTAGAATAATTTT